TACCCTTTTTTTTTTTTTTTTTTTTTTTTTTTGAGACGAAGTCTTGCTCTGTCACCCAGGCTGGAGTTCAGTGGCGTCATCTCAGCTCACTGCAAACTTTGTCTCCCAGGTTCAAGCAATTCTCTGCCTCCACTTCCTGAGCAGCTGGGAATATAGGCACTCACCACCACTCCTGGCCAATTTTTGTATTTTTAGTAGAGATGGGGTTTCACTGTCTTGGTCAGGCTGGTCTTGAACATCTAACCTCATGATCCACCCACCTCCGCCTTCCAAAGTGCTGGGATTACAGGCATGAGCCACTACACCTGGCTAAACATACCCTTATTTTATGGCACTGCGAGATGCTCAATACTCATCTTGTATAATTCCTACCCCAGCCCTACAGCCTGCTATTTCTTCAAGGAGCCCCAGTTCCCTATAGTGGGGAATATTTCTTCTGTTGTGCCTACTTTTTCTTCTTCTGGCTTTCGAATTATGCATATATTATATTTTTTTGAATTTAACCCAAACTTCTTAATTATTTTTTATTCCTTTTTTCTCTTTGCATTTCAATTTGGGAAGTTTCTACTAACCTAGCTTCAAGCTCACTGATTCTTTTCTTGGCCATATCAAGTCCAGTGGTATATACAACACTATTGGAGTGTTCTTGATTTTCTAGCCCTTCTATTCTTTCTTAGCATTTCCATCTTTCGGCTTATATCATTCATGGTTTTTCATACATATTCTTAACTTTTTCTATTAGGAATTTTATTCTATTAATTTTATATTATGTATAGTCATTTTATTCACAATTATTTCAGATTCCATGTCTCATAGTTCCAAAATCTTATCATATCTGAGTTGGGTTCTAATGATTGCTTTATCTCTTCAGACTATTTTTTCTTCTCTGTTGTCATGCCTTATAATTTTTAACTAAAAGCCATATATATGTTTTATTAGGTAAGAGGAACTGACGTAAATGGGCCTTTAGTGTACAGGTTTATGTTAATCTGGCAAGGAGTTGGACAATGTTTAAATGTTTGTCGTAGTTGTTACAGTTTTGAGATCAGCGGCCTCAAGTTTCTCTAGTGTTTTGTTTTTCTCTCTATTCTTGGTTTTGGGTTCCCCTATATACTCTTCCTTAGAGACAGTTCACGTCTTTCAGCTCTTTTAGCTGTAATCCACTGTTATTATACTAGAGCTTTGTTGGATGGTGGTAAAGTATGAGAGAAGGGGGAGTCTTCAAAATATTTTAATTAAATCTTCGTCTTTTAGTGAGACAGTGTACTGGGGCTGTGATCTTCACAGTACAGCTTTTTTTTAACCTTTTACCTCTGCCCCTCTGTTTACTTCCCTGGCTGCAGTATTTCTATTTGACCCCTATGGCTTGTATTTACCTTCCCTTAGGTGAGACAGGAAGACTGAAAGAGGCTGGATTGAAAGGAATTCTCTTCCTGAAACTGGGATAAAACTCTGTCAATAATTTCCCCTGGATCACAGGGTTTTGATATGGAGAATGTCCTGGGCATATTTCACAATGGTCATTCTCCTCCTCCCTGTGACAGAGCAAGGAGAGGACCTTTTTCATAAAAACCTGGTGGAGTTCCTGGAGGTAAAGCCCCCAAACATATGGAAGTTCCCCTAAGACAGCAGCCCCCAGGAATTTCCCACTATCATCACTAGTCTAGACTCCGTCTCCAGCCATTCATCAAAGTGTTTCGGTGTTCCCACCATTTTAGGAATCCAGCTGCTCCTGCTCCTAGTAAACAGATCTCAGCAGTGTGCCTCTGGATGAACCCGTCTTTCCACTTTTGAGGATGGTAGTTTACCCTGCAACTTCAGTTCTCTCTTGGGTCCAAGAAAATTTGTTGATTATTAATTTGTCTAAGTTTTTTCTTATTTTAAGGATAAGAGTGACCAGAGTCTTTACATGTCAGATCCGAAAACAGGTCACATGCCAGCTTTTATTTATAAAACACAGCTCTCCCTATTTCCATCTGCGGTCATCTTTATTTTTTTCTAATTTTTCTGTTGTGAATTTCACTGTTACTCAGATTTTCAGAAAACTATCTAGATTCAGTTCAAATGAAGTTTTGCTAAAAAGATGACCCAGCCCTCCCCTCCTAAATGTCAATGTAATTATCTAAGTTAAACATCAGTATTCCCATGTGAACTATTCTAGACAGGGTTTGGTGAAATTAACTGAAGTTGAGAATCACCAGTGAAGAACTTAAGATTAATACCTTCATTTGAAAAGGTTGATAAGGTGGATGAGCACATTAATGGCTTCATCCATTAAATCTTTTGGTGCTGAGAATTGATGTCCTTGTTCTACTTAGGTAAATAATTTTTATTTCATGGCAGAAACAAGATTATTTATAAATTGAACTACAGTAGTAATTTCCTCAATTGACAAAAGGTACAAATTTTGCCTCAAGCCCTTATCTAGAGGCTCATTGTATAGCAGGCTGTTCCTAAATCAGTCAAAGTTTGACAAGGGTGGTGGGGAGATTAATGATCAGACAGCCTATTTCTCATTTAAAAAAATTAATTTACCAATTAAAAACACATGGGTTAGTACAAATAAAATGTCTACTAAAACATTATTTGTAATATGATTTCCTTTTCTGGTAAAATATATATAGAATATTGTGTATGCATATTTTAAAAACTAGATATAACAAAAGCATAGAGCGTGTACATGTGATTTTTTCTTTTCTCCTTTTTGTTTATGTTTTCTGTTTTACATAACAAGTACTGATTTTGTGAAGCAAATAAAACCATAGAAGTTAAAACAAAAAGACTAATTTATAAAATCACAGGACTGTAATAAAATTTGTGGTTTATTTGTTAAGCCAGTTTCTAAATTTTCTGTTGAGGAAACTGAAGCACAGAAAAATTAAATATTGTAATTCTTAAATATTGTAATTTCTCATTTTTGCCTGTCATAACAATGGCCATTTACTAAAGGCACTGCTCACATATACACGGCTTTGGTATTTCTATTACAGCATATGATTTATCTCATCAACTTTAAAGTTTCTTCAGTACAGCCATAATACTGAGGAAGGGGAAGAAGAGGAGAGAGGAGCTGTAATAAAGATAATAGCTTTCATGTACCATTTGTCAAGCTATGTATTTTGTGTCATTTTAATTAATCCTCACATTACCTTCATGACATAGATATCATTCCCATTGTGTAGAGTAAGAAAAGGAAGATCAAACAGATTATAAAATTTTACAAATCTTCCTTGTAGCAACCTATACAACTCAGATGTTTATAAAGATCTATGTGTAACGTGACCTACAGTAGATATGTAGTAAATATTTGTTTAATAATTGAACTAATTTAGAAATCATTTGGTTTGCATGGACTAGATTTTTGGTGTTTATCAATGGACTCACGATCCCTTACTAAATTCACAGCTGAAAACCAACTTTGACCACAAGTGTTTTAAGTTTGGATCCTCTAATAAACAAAATTTTTTCTGTCATGGAAAAGATGATCACCACTTCTGCCATTTGGCTTTCTTGTTCTCTTCTTTATTGTACTTCAAAATGTTGAAAATGGTTTTCTAAAATTTTATTCATTTTGTGTGAAGCATGAGCACTCTTCTTTTTCAATACCACGTTTCCTACCATGTACCAACCTTTGACCCGCTAGCTTAAAATATAGAGCTAAGTAATGATAGCTTACTTATTTCGTACTTTAATAAAAAATATCATGTTCAAAACAGGTAGGACAGATATTATTACTCTCATTTTAACAATGAGGAGGCTAAGTTTCTACGTTTAGTGATTTGCTTAGAGTTATATAACCATATTAAAACACAGGGCGAGGGCCCCAGGAGAGTTCTGTAACTCCAACTATTTCTTCTATGTTATACGAGTTGACAGTGCAAAGCCATTCTGTCTGTCATATTGTTAATGGCTCATTATAAATTATCCTACAACTTGAGTTTCTGCTTTTTTTACTGGATTTTTTCAATCCTTTAATTTTTTAGCTTTTGTTCTAGTCAGAGTTTTTAGTTGCATGAGACAGAAACTAACTCTGGCTGATTTAAATGGGAGAAGAACATGCTGAGAGGCTATTGAGTAGCTCACAAAATTGTGTAGCAGCATGTCCAGAAACAGGTGAGAACAAGGGAGAAGGGCATCAGCTAAGGTAGCCACCAAAACCATGCTATAGAACACAGGGCACTTCCTGAGCAACAGATTCCTTTGCTGGTAAGTCTGGCTTTCCTGCCCTGAAATTTAGATTTAAATATTGTTATAGCAACTATCAATGCCCATTTCTAGGATGGGTTTCGATTGTCCCTGCTTCTTTGTGTCACTATCTCTGTTTCAAAGTCATGACTTCAAAGATACTGAACCATGTCAGTATCTTCTTGACTTCAAAGTCATGACTTTGAAGAAATGAATATGTCCAATTGGCAGAATGTTGATCATATGGTCATACCCTCACTTCAGAAAATGCTGAGAAATAAAGCATTTAAACCACTATCATTGGAGGAAAGCTCTGTCCCCCATCAAAAATCATTAAACCTCCACTTCACCTACTGTAACATAAATATTTAAATCATTGAGAGCTTCCCACCAGAACCAAGAAAAATGACCAAATTCCAGCAATGTTTCCAATTTAGTTTATATGTTCTTTCTCTGGTCTAACTTTCTTTGGGACAAGCAATACATTTAATTTACAACTAAGACTCAACTGTCCCTCAACCAATAATTATCTTTATTTTTCAGCATTCTGAAGATTCAAAACTCAATGTGTTTTATTCACCTCCTAAGAAATTATGTTTTCAAAGCTAGCCTCAATATTTTTTCAAACGAGTGAACTTCTTCAAGGCCTGAAAGAATGAATTGATATTTTACAAAATATTTTTGAAGCATAAAGAATATATTCAACATCTTTCCATGTCTTGGGGTTTTAACAGATGCCTTATTCTACTTTAACAATTTCAAATATTTCTTTTACACAAAATGTTTCTTAGTCTGAATAACCCTTTTCTCTACAGTATTTTTGAGCAGTGGCTCCGAAGGCATCACCCTCTTCTAGAAGTTTATCCAGAAGCTAATGCACCCATTGGACATAACCGGGAATCTTACATGGTTCCTTTTATACCACTCTACAAAAATGGCGATTTCTTTATTTCATCCAAAGATCTGGGCTATGACTATAGCTACCTACAAGATTCAGGTAAAGTTTACTTTCTTCCAGAGGAATTGCTGAATCTAGTGTTACCAATTTCTTTTGAAATAGTATAAAACCCTATGCTTCTACAATGTTGTTCCTGAATGCTTTAAATTGGGAAAGTCCATTTCAATCTTTAATTTATTACCAGTTTATTATCACAGGAATCAAATTCTGAGGATCTTTAAAGTTGTATTCATTTTGCTTAACATAGGTTGTTTTGTACATAGCAACCATGGGAAGAACAGCAGAATCAGAAGGAAAATAAAAAGGTTTTGAGACCCCGACTCTATCAACTGATTGTAGTGGGATCTTGGGAAATTTTCTCTGTATCCCTTAATCTCAGTTTATTCACCTGAAATATTGGGATCAGAACACCTTGAATAATTATTGTGAGAATGATATATTAATGAGCCTAGTACAGTGTGGCACAGGGTAAACATACAGCAGTTTTGGACTCGTCTTTGGGAGTTTCTTGCTAGGGTTACCAAGAAAATTTGCAGAAATCTTGATTTTAGGCATAGTTAATAATAATAATAGCTATTATAATGTTAATTGCTCTATGATGAAGATATCAATATGAAACAATATTCCTGCATAGAAGATATCAGTATAAAACAATCTTCCTGCATAGAACCATGTCAGTATCTTCTTGACAAAATAAGGAACCAATTGTAGTGTTTGTCTCTATGTGAAAGTCCACTATGTACATATTCTTTACATGCATTATTAATCAACCATAGATGAGGTATTATTCTTTCAAGATAGAGGTGAGAACACTGATACCCAAAGAATTTAAGTGGCTTTCCCAATATCAAACACCAATATGTGGAGGAGTAAGAATTAAAGAATTCTAGGTGGTCCTCCTCATCTCAGCATACTATGATTCACCTAATGCATAAGGGCTAATTATCAAAAACTGTGTGGCTTGTGGGCAGGAGGTATTTAACTAGCATTGATATTTCACTGTATTCATTGATAATTCATGAAACATAAAAAAAATAAAGAAAATAAACAAATGAATGAAACTCTACTCTCTCGCTCTTGTGCTCAAATTCAGTAACACATGACTGGAGAAGTTTCAGACCTGAAGAGGCTCCAGTGTAGAAGACAACTGTGCAAGGAAGTAAAAATCATCAGGCTGTATTATGCACAGTAAAAGAGTCATAAAGAAAATCCCATAGTAGTGCTGAAGAGACAGCCATAACTACTGGAGGGTTCACCCTAAAAAGAGAAGACAAGGCCTTCAGATTGAGTAGGCAGGTGGGAGACAGCAAAGGGCCAGGAATAAGCTAGGCTAAGAGAACAGCAAGAACAATAGAGGTGGAAAATGAGCAGCATATTTATGGAATGCTGAATTATTCTATTTGAGTAGTGTGAACAGTGGAAAATGACACGAAGAAGATAAGTTGACCCAGTTTATAATAGTTAACATATACTAAGAATTTCTTATTTGCCAGGAACTCTTCTCAATATGCTGTATGCATTATTTCCTTAAATCTTCATAATTACTCTATGAAGTAGGTATTATTATGTCTTTTTCCTTTTCATATATAAGGAAATAGACTCTTAAAGAGTTTAAATAAATCATCCCAGGCCATTTACCTAGTATATAGCAATATAGTATAGTACATATGCAACGTGGGGTTAACAGGAGGGCCTATAGGTTATCAACCTTGTTCTGCCTTTTGAGGGACAGTTAATTTAAAAGATAATGGGTTTAACTGAGCTTTTTTGCTTTATCTGAATATTATAGCCAATAAACTAAATGCTAACACAGCTGACAAAGGAGATCAGTTTTTGGAAAATCTTAAGATCACTAAGAACAGAGAATTTTGCAAAGGGTGGAAGTGTGGTAAGAGGAAGGGCTTCCTGTACATCTCAAGTAACATGTCCTCCCTTTCTTATGTGACAACCACAGTACTTAAAGAAAGGAGCTTATTGGTGATATTTTTCAAAGATTTTCCATTTAGGATTTTATGATTTAATCTCTGTTTCCACTTCCAAAACATGCTAGACTTTCATGGGTTCACACTTTTGAATATGCTATTTTTTTCTGCCTGAATTCTGACTCTGTTTCTTCATTTGTCAAATTCTCAGATATAAAAATCATTTTATATTTAAACATAGTCATGTTTAATCACAGCTTTCCCAGAGTTACATAGTTTTTTTTCTATGTATGACTCTTTCCTGGGTTTTATTCTCCTCCAAACCCCCAAAATCAGAGTTTATCTTGCAAGCTTCTCCATTCTAAGCATTACATTGATCTGGTATGGGCTGAAATAAATAATCGATTTGAGTGTAAGTGATATTTATCATGAAGTGTCATTCCTCTTTACTAATACAAGTGAAACTTGGTAGAAAAAATGTTACATCTCTTAACACTCAGGTCTAATTTTTGGATATATATTTTAAAACACTTTTGAAGTATTCTATCATGCCAGGTGTTTTTTATGTGTCTATATCGAGTTGTTTATTCTTTATACACATTATTAATCAACCATATATGAGGTATTATTCTTCCAAGATAGAGGTGAGAACACTGGTACCCAGAGAATTTAAGTGGCTTTCCCAAAATCAAAATCCAATATGTGGAGGAGCAAGATTTCAATTCTTTCAAATTGAAAGGGACAAGATTTCAGTTAAATATCTTCACAAATTTTATAATGGAAGAGAAATATCCTAAACAACTGCTTGCTGAAAAAGTCATTTATTTAGAGATATGCCTATCTCCAGGGGCTGACGAAGTGATAGTTGAGATGACATCAATGTGACAAGTAGAACTAACTAGTTGAAAAGGAGGGCATGATAAATTTGGGCCATATTGTTAGAATGATGCAAGTCACTGATACATTTTAAGAAGGTTATAATCAAATTTGAATTTCAAAAGGTTATCTCAGCTTCAGTGTAGAGAAAGCATTTTAGCAGTAGCACAGCACATGCAGAAAGGCGGGGAAATGCTATTATAAAAGTCTGGAGAAGAGGCAAAGGTAGTTTAAATCGCAGTGGTGGTAGAAGGAAGGGAGATAGAAAGCATGAAATAATTTGACATTATTTTAAAGGCAAAATTTACAGAACTTGGCAAATGATTTATGTACCAGGAGATTAGGAATGGCTTTATGCTTTGCGGCCTGTGAAACTGATGAATGGTAGTACAATTCACTGATATAATAACAAGAGGAGCAAAGAAATACATGGAGAACATTTACGGTTTTGTTACACAGTGAAATGAAGTTATATGGATGGTAAATGTGTCTCTTGAGAAGCTGGATACACAGGCCTGAAACTCAAAAGTGGAATCTGGCCCTCAGATCTGAACGCAATAGATATCAGCATATAAATTGTTAAGTAAGCTAATTTTTAAAATCCTATGGAGGGGTGATTTTTATTCTGTTTTACAGGTAAGTAAACAGAGAATCAGAAAGATCTAGTGATTAATTTTAAACTACAAATCTAGTAAGTGTTAAATATTTAATCCAAAATTACATCATTCCATCACTGCACAGAGAAAAGGGTTCCCTTTAACCCCCATATGCTCCACCTCTTTGTCTCTTCCCTAGTAACCAAACGGATACTTTTTACTACAAAGGCAACAAAATTTCCTGGATGAGCCAGGGGAGAGAGGAGGCTCAATGAGTAATCTCACAGGCTTGAAGGTATTTATTTCTAACGAAATTAAAAGAAACAAAATTTATTTACAATGCCTTTAGAGTCAATTTGAAAATTTCTCTAAAAGTTAATTTTCTCTAAAAGTTAATTTTAGAGAAGTTTGACTTAAGCAACAGCAGATAGTTGGGAGGCTGAGGCAAGAGGTTCACTTAAGCCCAGGAGTGTGAGGCCAGTTTGGGCAACAAGCGACACTCGACTCTAGAAACAAAGCAAATCAAAACAAAGCAGCTAAAGTAACCGCAATTGCCTATTTTCTATTTTGTGAATTTTTCCATATTGTTGCTTCTGATGCACTTTCAATGAGTTTAAAATTTATCTCTATTAATAGCTAAATTTTAAGCTTACCAAAAAATTCTTTAAAATTTCTAAATATAATTTTGTTCAAGAGGATTATGATTCATCATCCAGGTACTCGTGTTTATAAATACTTAAGTGGTTTCTGTAAAAAGGCAGCTGATATCTGCCTTTTATCAAACATTTTCTCTTATAATTGAATTTAGTGGTTCTTTAAAAAATTGAGTAGCAGGTGATTTTTTTGTATGCGAAACTAATTTACAAGGTGAGACCAAACAGCTTTGGCAGTGAAGGGTTGTGGCCTCAATGCTGGTGATAAATGTAATCTTGCTTTCTGCATAGCAGAAAAGCTCTCTGTTGAGAGCTTCCTTCTTCCCATACATTACAAAAGATCTGGTAATTTGATTTCAAAAATGAGAAAGGAAAACAATGTTCACAGGAACTGCACTGTCCCATTCTGCCAGTGGAAATTGATGAGACTTCTATCATTCATGGATTTGTTCAATAGCCCTGCTTGGCTATGTGTATACCTGTGTGCATGCTGCTCCTTTCTGCCGAGGATGGATTACCATCAACATTATATACTCAAAGTCTAACTCATTCTTTTACTCCATGGGACAGTGTTCTGGGGTGCCTTCCGACTTCACAGACCGATGTAGGTGTTCTCTTCTCCATGATCTCTTTGTATCTTTTACATATTTTCACCAGAACATCATCACTCTCAAAATGACTTGTTTACCTGCCAGGTGCTGAGGGTGAAAAGATAAATGAGGCAGGGAGTGTATCTCAGTGAATATGTGATTTTAAAATAAATGAAAAGGAGAATGAAAGATAAGACATAGTATGTTCTCTTGAGAGTTTGTGACAAGCCTGAAACTAAGATGTATATAAATAAATGTGGTAATAAATGGACATTTGTGTCAAATGTCACAAGGCAGCAAAGAAAGTAGTTTGAGAATCCAGAAGAGAGAATGGAGCTGAGTCAGCAGTTGCAGCAAGTTTGGAAAGAAAAACTCCTATTGGAAGCTAGTTTAGTTGAATATTGATGAAATTATCATTTTGTCATGATAAGAATCAACAGCAGTTGTAAATTGTTTTCTGTATGATAGACATTGTACCAAGGGCTACACATATGTTGTCTAGTTCAATCACTGCAGGTAGACTCTTGACTCTTAAATTAGAGTAATGGCCCCTAACTACTTCATGTGTGTTTTGTGAATAAATGGGCATGTTAACGCACTTTGGAAATGACAGAGCATAAAACAAATAAAAATCTACATAATTATTCTGAAAAGAATAGATGACAAGAAGAACAGAATTTCACACAGGGAAAGATGGCAGGAAAGTTATAACATGGGGACAACCAAAAAGGTGCACCGTTGAGGCTCAAAAGTGGATAGCTTAGAAAGAAAGTCTGAATTTTAGTTTAAAGCCATTGAGAAATAAAAGTGTTTCGAAGACAGTCCCCTGGTAACAGTAAAAATACAGACCACTTGGAATGAATTGAAGTGGAGAAATAATAACAGAAGCTGGAGAACAGGACAGACATAGAAATAGTATTTAAAAGCTGTGAAAGCACGTGAGCCAAGCCTTCAACAAACAGGAAAATATTTATCATGTAGCCTCTATGTATCCCGCCTTTTATTGGACATTTAAAATGTACCATGTATTGAAGCCACTAACAGCAATCTAAGCTAGGTATTGTAGTCCCATTTTCAAAATAATTTTAATATATATTTAAAACAGTAATTTCCAAGGTCTAGGATTTACTCAGGATCATACAGTTCATGAGACCTCACCAATATTTTGTCTGTATTCTAGCTAGTGAGAAACGAAAAGGTAAATGGTCAAAGACATATTTTCTTTTTCTTTTCAAGGGAACTTCCCACAAAGTATGTTTTATATATATAAATCTTTGAGGGAAGTTCCCTTAAAAAGAAGCATATATATAGACATAGACAAATAAACATTTCAATACACACAAGCTAGAATACAGACAAAATATTGGTGAGGTC